ACAGTTATGATTAAGTAATTTTAAGATATAAGTTAACACTATTTTTATTTAGTGTGTCTTTAATGTATGTGTACATACAATTTATATAAAAAAAATCTACATTAATTATAGATTATTTTAAGCAATGAATAAGATATAAAGCTGCATTAATCAATATCTGGCCACTAGAGGACAGACCAACTCCAAAACAAGCCACAGGCACTCAGCCCTCCACCATTATAAACCCATGTGAGTAGTGTTTTACTTTCCTTTTACCTCTCTAGCTTTCATTAGTTGCTAATTTTGTGCTAAGCAGCTAGCATAAAGTGTATTTAGCTCAGCGTTTTCTTAACGGCTGCCTACAGAGGTTGATGAAATCTGCATACAGAGACAATAAACCTTTTCACCGCGGACATTTTGACTCGTTGGGGCAGCAAAAGGACAGGTGTAATCAAAACGACTGCTTTCTGTTTAAGTGAGCGAGTTGCAGGGTCCTGGTATTGTGCTTGCTGGCTCACCATCATGGCTCACTGGAACACTTGATAGGATAACTTGAGTTATCGGTAACAAAATGTGTTTCACTTGTACCTTTCCTGCTAAGACATGTCAAAATGTGTGGCACAAAAAAGGTCTATATAAACATGTCAAGGTTAAACCAAAGCAGTGAGCAAAAACTGCAGGGTTGGGTAATACTTTTCAGAGGGTTTGGGCTTAATCAAATATATACTTTAAACTTATCTCTAGTGATATCTGTCATATAGACAGTTTTGAGACATCTTTCTCTGAGATATCTGCTGCCACCCAAATACAGTGGAGGTGACTGAAATGTTATTTATGGTGTTTACAGCATTCACAGCTTTATTTAATTAAGCTTTTATTGCATTCAACCTCAGTATGTAAGAGCTTCCTTTCATCATATGTTATGTCTTTGGCCTTCTTGCACCTTAGCATTGTGTTATGAGTGCAGAGAATGTCTCAGAAGGTGCTGCACTTACATTTTTTTTTAACATTTACATTAAAGATAAACAGCATCTTGTCTTTAAAGATACAATGTCAGACTTCGCTGTGAACTGGTGCTTTTGAAACTAAGAAATAGCTCAGGAAATGAATTTGATTTTAAAATTCATTTTCAAATCATTTAAAGAAAAAGTAGCTGTAAGTACGAGCGAATATAATTTAAAGCAATTTTTATTGATGACAACAAATGAGTGAAAATGAGTTGTAAAACATTTCCATCCATTGCAGTCATCGTAGAAGGCTGATCATCTTTTGGGAACGGTTTTTCAGTAACGGTATCCATTTTGACGTTGTAGCCACATGGATGAAGTTCGTGGATCAACTGGCGTACCTGTCAATGGCGGTCAAAAATGAAAAAAGTACAAAGACAAACTGCACACTTAATTGCCCAGATAAGTGTTGAGGTAATGTGTAAAATACTATTCAGATGAATGGGCAGAGTACAATCATTCATACATAAAATATGTACAGAGAGGTACATGAACACTCAGACACTGTTTTTCAATTGCACAGTATGATAAATGGGTGTAACTGCAACAGAGGAGGAATGAAGCTTGATTTCAAACATTAAATAATGAAATAAACACGTTGATGATGAAGCACCGTGGTTTATAAGTGATGCTTCAGTTCTGAATAAAAAAAAAAGAACTATTTAGAAATTATTCTGCTTTATATTTGGTGAGGCAGAGAATGGAGATGTAAGCCAAAGATTATTCTGGCGTACTTGGCACCTCTAACGTCTGTAACGTCTTCAGCAGGTCCATTTTCACAATAAAGCAAATGCACTGTTAGTATGAGCATGAAATCTACAGTTATAATGCAAAAGCTAAAACAAAGACGGTAAAGAATACACAGGTGAGTGTAAGGTCATTTTGTCAATGAACCTAAAAAGCACTTCAATGTAGTTGAATCAGTTTCAATCTTTAACTTCCCAAGCGATGAGATACGAGAGATGGTGCAAGAGTAGAGAGGCTAACTGTACGTCTGTTCACGCATAGAAGTTCATATGTAATCGTATTTCTGAAATCTTCTTGCCATGAGACCGAACGTGTGAGTGAACAGCCGGTTTCATACCACACCACAAAACGCCGCCAGGCATCCCGCGGACAGAAACCTGTGTGGTTTCTGACGTAACTGACGACCAAAGTGTTCAGGAAAAAAAGTGCATCATATTTTGTCAAATACTGAGAAATAGCTGAACATTAAAAACAACACTCTTATAATAAACATCTGAAATATCTTCTTTTTTTTTCTCACTAGTGCAACAACAGACTGGATCAAATGAAGAGAAACGTTATTAACCTGCAGGCAATCAAAGCTCTTTAAACATCTAATAATTTTCTTGTCACAGTAGCAGAACAGTTAAGAAGGCAACTTAATGATTGATGCTTGAACACAAACATGCCAACATTATACACATCGCTCTTTTTTTTTATAGAAATAAATAGCTGAATTATCATCTTTATCCTCTTCTTAAATAATTTCCATCTCTATATGACTCTGATGCACATTTAATATAAAGTATCTAATACACAACTGCAATTTCAACACTAATGTTATACATAATATAATTCTCTATGTTTATCTTTCATTCACCTTTGGAGAGAAAATGCTTACAGAATGAAGAACTGTAAACTTCAACTTTTTCCACTCATAGTTATGACCTTAATATTATATAACATCAAATGTTGGTCCTTTTTTTCTGGCTTTTGTTGTTGTTGTTTTTTACAAACATTATGTACAGAGTAGCTGATAGCGAAGGCAGGATTGTCTAAAACTCAAAATCAACAAGTGCTTTGTGTTTTTCTCTATTGTGTCAGCAAAGTTTTACACCTTTCCCACAAACACATCTCCTCCAATGAAAACCGAGCAGACAATCAGTCCCAGTGTAGGATAATAATACGCTGTACTGGAAGAACATGAAGAAATGCACATCCACAACTGATCTCACACACTGACCTGCAACATCATCACTACAATATGCAGCTACACAAGTCCTCATAAACATTTTTTTGACAGTGAAGCAGAGACCACAAACAGCAGCTCATAGCTCTCCTTGTCAGTGAGTTTTTGAATTTTAGGGCCCACATGACGCCTCCTCAGCATTCCTGGAAACTGTCACCTTGCTCTGTTGCACTCACCGCCCACAAATGTTAAGATGTGTTGCAGAGACAAGGCTAGTTGCCTTGTGACAAATGAAGTGTGCCAGGTAAAAACTAACAACTTGTTAAAGGACCAGTGTGTAGGATTTAGTGGCATCTATCAGTGAAGTTGCAGATTGCAACCAACTGATGGGCGCTCGCCTTCTAAGCATGTCAGGAGAGACTACCGGGTGGTTGCAAACATTAGTAAAAAACATGAAAGGCCCTTTCTACAGCCAGTGTTTTTGGTTTGTTCCCTTCTGGCCTACTGTGGAAACATGGCGGTTTCAACATGGCGGTCTCCGTAGAGGGGGAGGACCTGCTCCTTTCTGTATGATAAAAACCAGCTTATTCTAAGGTAACAAAAACACAATGATTTCTTTATTTGTCAGGTATTTTTATACATTAATGAAAACATACCTATGAATATTATATTCCCTTTCTGCCAATAGATCCTCCTAAATGTTACACACTGGACGTTTAAGCAACCTATGGTAGGCGTGTCATGAGGGAAGAGACGTGAATTTCTGCCTCATGTGTGAATTATTTTTCAACCTGTTTCAAAACGGTGTGCATGATTTCTTTGAATCAATGTGATTGTAAGCTTCTAACAGGAGCTCTGTTTAAAGGGGTACTCCAGTGATTTTGTACTGCACTTTCATACAGTGACTGATTTTTAAAAAACGCTGCATCAGAGGCAGAAAAATCCTGACTTTTGGTCCCTAGTGTGGGTCAAGCTACAAACATTCTGGATCCTTCCCTTCCTATTGAGTCTTTTCTATCGACCTTCTACGCCTTGTAAACACATTTTTCAAACAACATGCCGCTAGCTTGTAATGCAGGTTTCTGTGTTGCAAATTTGTAATTTCCAAGCTGAGATAAGACTGATATTATGAAGATTATTTTCAGACTTGATAAAGCTCCTCCAGAGCCCTAGAAGACATTTACAGCTGTTCACAGACTGAGTAGTACTCTTTATATTTTTAAACTGATCTAGATTGTTGGAACTCCCCTTTAAGTTGTCTGCAGCACAGAGAAGTGAACAATATGTGTCGCCATGGTAAGTATTGCTACTTATACTTATTGAGATTTTCTGCAACGTACCCTGAACTAAACTGTCGCCATGAATTGCCCCAAATCAAACTCCTAATTTGAAGGTGATACTGAATAGCTGATCCCTTGGCTTTGAGTTCTGCAAAATAGTAAAAGGTAACACATGTTCCATGCTGCAAAGAGTACAAAGTGTTATATCACACCAGCTGGTCATTGGCTGTGTAAGTGCTTGGAAAACCCAGCAGAGGGAGCCAGAGGATGCCAGCTGAAAGTTGTTCAGGGCCTCAGCCACGACAAGCACTACTAATAGGAATGGCACTGTTTAGTATGATATATAAACACTGTAACACCTGTATACACCTGGAGACCATGTTCCATATGAAACACAACAACCCTTATGTTCAGTAAGAGCTGCTTCAACTCAAGTCAAATTCCAATAATGTAAGTTAATTTTGATTTGAAGAGATTAAACCGCTTACATGGTCCCTCCTCCCTCACAAATGGCACATTGGAGAAAACTCACTGGAATGAGGACAGACACTGTTACAAATGGCACCAGTTTTTTGAGAGAAATGCGTTATGGATCATCTTCCGTCTAGAGATACTACAACCATCGAAAAGTCCAGGTTTGTGACACGATGCTGTTCACATAAGGAAGCAGAGGACGGTAGAAGAGGCTAAATGCATCGCTGCCATGCAGTGGCTAAAAGACTGTCAAGGTCTGCGTGTTACAGGGAATGCTGTCATTGCTCTCTCCACTGTGCCTGGAGCTGGTGCAGCATGTTTCTGTTCTGGGTGGGAAGCAGTAAGTGTTGAAAGTTGTCCGTTGTCCTGCTCCAACACACAGTAGTGTGGGTCAGGCAGGTTTGAAAACCATTTATTAAATCGTCAGCTCTATGCATTCACACATCCGCACGCACACAAACACAAAGCGCCTGTCTCAAGACTCTTAACCTTGTACTTCTGCGGAAAGTATGTATGCTTTATAATGTCCTCCTGCCCACACGAGCTGATGGTGTTGAAGGTAGTCTTAAGTATATGTCAAGCACAATGTAGATGCAGACAGTTAAATACAGCGCTGTCACCTGGCTCCAGGCGTTTCAAGAAATGGATCTGGCTCTGTGCGACGACACAATCCATTTTTACGGTGAAAGCAAAAAAGGACTGAGAAAAAGGAATCAGATAGTTCTGTTGGGCTATTTGAGTCTGTGAAGTATTAGACAGGCCCTTTGTGTGATATATAAGTGCCATTGTTAGCCTAAATAAGCCTCCTGACTGGTTTCAGTCAACATGAGGGAGATACTGATTTCCCCTTACTGGAATAGTGAATTAGTTTTTCTGTTTGAAGGTTGTACTTGAGGATCGCCCCCCTGTTCAGCGATCTTCTGTTGTTTCTGTCGGTGCTGCAGACGTATTCAAACCCAGCAGAGTGGGCTCAAAACAGCTGGATCTTTTTGATTGACTGGAGCCAAGATGGCACCTTTCCAAGAGTCGAAGAATCTGCACAAAAGATGTTAGCAGAGACTGTCTGCTTTCACGTGGAGGATTTTGGAGAAGCCGGGTCTCTTCTTCAGAGCCTGGAAGAAAAAAGCAGGAAGGAATATCAGAATCTCATTTTTTTTTTTAAGCAATCTGACAGTGCTCCATTTCCCTGTTGCCTTCATGCCTTGAGGTTTTCCTCCATTAGCCGTAAGTGACTGATGTATGACAGAAAGCTATAAAAAAAACTGTAAAGCATTTAGGTGCAGCAGGTTAAGGATGACTGTCTTGCTTCATAAGCTTCGCCTCTGCAGAACCCGCTTTAAAAAATGGATGATTAAACATGAGAGGGGAACTTTGGTTGCCTTTTCACAGCAAACTTAAAAGAGGGAGGGATAAAAATAAATCATAGTTGTTTGCAGCTTTTGGAGAGGTTACCTAACTGCTGTGAGCAAGCCCACCATCTTGAGTGTAATATCCAAGACGAACACACTGTAAACTGACTCATAAAAACAAAACACAAATAAAACCTGGGATTGCACAGCTTTTATATCTCTGTTTGTGTGTGGTCAGCTATAAGGATGACCCAAACCTCTCACAGTAAGCCTCTGCTCGAGTGAGTTAGCACAACCAGCCATCAGTGGGACTTCACGGATTGAGTCACGGTTTAAATGGTGTGTAGTTCTGATAAATATAGATGTGTTTTATCCTCTGAACAACTATCGGCCACGCTGTTAGTCATGTGCATACAGTGGTGCAAAACTCAGACATGTTGGCTGAAAAGAGACACTGAATTCACATGAGAGTGCTTAACAGAAAGGAGACCTCTGCTAACAGAGCTAACATCCCTGTTACCGTCACAAAGTCAACACTAGTAGTTTTTTCAGGTATTTGTCCTTTATTTTCCTGACAACTTTTTAGTTTTACCCCCTTATTTCACATTATTGCACACTTTCCCGACATCAAGGCCGGTGCACGCATGACAGACATAACATGAAGAAAACAACATAAAGAGGAGATGAGAGGGAGACTCTACCCTTTTTGAACTGTCAGTTAGCTTTACACCAAAACAGCTGGTAGAAATGTCCTTCAGAGAAACCAAGAGAGTACTTTTACTTGATTGAAGAAGTTGAACCTTGAGTCTGTATCAGAATGCTACCTGTGGTTATACAGTAAAAGAAAGTGTGGCCCTAATGGTGGCACTGAGGGAGGTGGGAGCCTATGTGTGCACAGAAAATATTATTTTACAATTGTTACCTGCAGCTTATTAACCATCTCATCAAAGAGTTTTCTAGCTTCAGGGCTGTTGGGGTCCTCAAAGTAGTCTTCTATACCGATCTGAACCACGATGGACTTCAGGTTGCGGCAAACACCTACGTGAGTGGAAGGAGGATTTAGGCAGCATTAATTATCTGGGTTTCAACAGGGTGTTCTCATAATACAATTGTCATTTCTTATTTCTATTCTTAGAAAACATAACCAAAAGGCATAGCTGCCTACATGTAACCTTATCATACATTGTTTTAGGGGAATCCCCAACAGGATTTCAGACAGTAGGTCTAATGTAGTCAATAAAGCAGCATTCAAACTTACTGTTGAAGTGGAGCAGGGCTTTGGGGGTAACTGGTGTGGAGGTGAGCACCAGCATCTCCAGACCTTTCAAGCCCTCTCTGCAAACCTCTGCTGCCACCTCCTGGTTGATCTCGCTCACATGATCCAACTCCAGCACCTGCAGGCGCATGCAGTTCCTCGCTGGGGTTGAGGGGGATGAATGGAAGTAAGGAAATGCACAGGTAGGGAAGATAAGTAGGCACGTGTCAAGATAATAATTGTGAAGATCACAGTAGTACATTCAGGCTTGTTTAAGGTCACAACCAATAGTGCTTCAATTGCACATTATTATAAGGAATATATGAATAGATTTGAGTATGAACAAGACATTGGTTAATTGCAGTTTCTGTGCTGTCCTACTTTATGTCCTTATATGACAATAATATCTTTTAATCATCTTACCACCATGTTTCTGTTCCTGCATATGAGATTGCAGTTGTGATGAAATACTTTAGAAATGTCATGAATAATGTTTTAAGTAAGTAAATAAGTGTTGTAGCTAAAACCACAGAGAGGAATTACATTAGAAATGGAATAGTTCTTTAACAAGCAATATTTACCTAGAGAGGCCAGGCCCTGAATGCCACATCCAGCCCCACCCACACCAAGAGCACGGAGGTGTGGCCAACATCTTCCAATTGTCTGCAGGCATCGGTTACTAAAACGAGCAGGTTGTTGGCTAAAAGAGACACAATGTAGTACACAGTCATTCATTTAATAACCCACAGTATTGATGTCATAAGAGAGAATATTTGGGATTAATCAAAAGTTGCAGAGGTACAGTATTTTTCTCTTTTACCATGGGTGTAGTGGCGCCACCTGTAGGGAGATGATGTCTCTACAACCTGCTCCGAGGGCCCAGATCACCTCCTGACCAACTGGGTCTGTGGCACTCCTGGAGCACAACAAGTGTACACAATTAGTGTTTATACGTAACATGTGACACTGAATGTCTACAGCATGAGAGTGCAGACTTATGGACTCATTAAAGCAAAGTCACTGTGGTAAAACTAAAATATTTGTGCATAATACAGTGGACCAAGAGATTTGGGTGTGCTGGTCTTACCTATAGGTGACAGCCTGCAGAGCTCGGCAGTAGCAGCTGGCCAACCAGAGGGAGCGATCTGTCAGCAGGTTGGGGCAGTGTGAAATCTTCAATATCAGCAGGTTACTTCCTGTGGCCTTTAACAACGCCTCCAAACCTTCCTCCAGACAGCCACTTAGATGGAAACATAAGGGAAGGTCAACAAAAAAAAAAAAAAAAACCAGACAGAGTGTAAGTAATTCTCCTGTCCTTCACAACAGCACTTCTACAATTTCTAGCACATAACAAAATGCTCCTGCAATGTTTGAAGCAACACAGGAAGCAGTATGTCTTTTCATTGTCCACACAATTTGATGATTTTTCTTTCACACAAAACATTAGACACAAACAACTTCACTTCTACCACTCATATCAAACTTCTACTTGTCTATCTTCAGGAAATGAATACTGACATTTGTCATGCTGATCATAATCAAGCAGCATAAAAATGTCAGCATTCAATCACTTATGTTCCTCTTGGTGGCATTTGCTCATCAATCACTGTTTGAGGAGTCATTTAGGATGTCACTCAGTTCAGTAGTTTGCAAAGCAATCTGCTTATTGAAGCCAAAATTATGTAGTAGTAGTAGTACACCATAAGTACCCCAGAGTCAATAGGCATTTTGTGGGAAACTGTGTGCAGTGTCTCACCGTGTGCTTTTCACATAGTCCTCCTTGGTTTCCTTCTTTCCCCGCTGTCTTGGTTTGAGGTTTTGCAGGATGAGGGAGTGCGTCTGAGTGCACCACTGAGACATTATACTCAGGAACTAAGGGACAAACGTGGAGATCAGTGAAAATATTCATCATACAAAGCAAAAGGCGATACAACTAAATGCACCACATGCTACTGCTCTGATAATGCTACTGACTATTGACTGCATACAGTATCCAAATGTGCACCTTGGAAGAAATGCGAGCATTCTCTAGCAGCACTCTGGTCCACACGGCTGGGTGACGGGCCACAAACTTCCAGTCACGGCAGACCTCAGCAGCTCTCAGCAGGGTTTTAGTATCCAGGTAGGTGAAGATACAGAAGAGAGCTGCACGCATCTTCAGGATCTCTGGACTGATCACCTCGTTGGATTTAGACGGGCTCTTTTCATGGCGGCATGGCTTGTAGACCCCATCAGACCGACCTGTGATAAGAAAACCGTTGTTTAACCCTTTAACACAAAGTGGGTTGGTTGGGACTATTATGACCTCTGCGTTGAATTTGCACTTTTCAGGGTTTTACTAAGATTGTGGAGCACCAGACTGCTTTGATGATACCATATTTTATATTGTATATTCTGCTGTGTACTGTATTGTTCCTTGATTTTTTGACTGACTTTCTTATCATCACCATGGGAGATAATCCAAGAGTCAGATCCATATATCTATACTCATGTAACTTTTCACACTACTAGCAACCTATCCCACATGCCCTGATCATCTACACCAACAAATCCAGTTTCCACTTGGTCCTCTACCTAAACATGTTAGTTCTGTCATAAACCCAGATGTAATGTTTGTTTTCAGCCTCAATCACGAATTTCATATTAGCAAAGTCCTCCAACCTTGCGACTACCATCTCCGGGATATTGCTATATTTTGTTCAAATTTGAGTTTCAAAAGATACCAAATCTATCACCAGTGCTTTCATTTCCTCACATTTGGACTACGGCAGTTCTCTTAACCAGTATAAATCAGAAAACAATTTGCAGAATTCCAATTGTGCAGAATGCCCCGCAGCTATTCAGCTAAAACTAAGAGTAGAGAACATATTGTGTTACTCCCCTTCAAATGTCCTAACCCTGAATGCCACTGTGTTTTAGAATTCATTTAAGACTTTCTACTTATCAACCTGCATGCATTTTGACGTCTTCATTAGGAACATATTGGAACCTATTATATTTGTTTTGTTTTCTTCTTATTATTATTGTATTATTATCACTGGTATTATAATTTTCCTGATATTCCTGTTATTTTTGCTTGATTGTAATTTTTTTGTTTTCTGTTACTTCATACCCATTTATTATTACTGCTACATAAATAAACTTAACTATGGTTATCATTATATATGTTGAAAACATGCATTTAATAAAAGACCAAATGAATTTAACTCAGTAACTCCGAGCTTGGAGAGATGGTCTTTATTTCACTTCTATTTCTGTTAACATGCTAATTTTCTAAAGAACGAATACCAGTAAATGCCACTTAAACAGATATTCTGTCACATGGTGGCGCCATACTTCAACAAGACACTAAATGAGATTACATAATTTTTTTTTCTTGTTTCCATCTTTTCATTCTCTCCATTGCTATCTATTGGCTGATACCATGTGTCCAATCCAAGCCTGTCTTATTCCTCCTAGCGAGATTGCTCCTAGATGACTCATTTCATCTTTGGCCTTGGAAGGCGTCTGCTCAAAACCATCGGGGCTATGAACCATTACTTACACTCTCACTCTTTCTTCCTCTTTCTCTCCTTCTTTCTTTCTCTCTCACACACACCACCTACGCTCAAGACTGCCAAATGAACTAAAAAAGCCAAGCTGTGTGTTACATGCTGAGAAAAAACTGTGCTTGTAGATACATACCATCTGATAAAACCTGGCAGAGACTCTCCCAATAAGGAGAACTACGTCAGAGCAGAGGAATGCCAGAAACATGTTGAGCGTTACGTGATAAAAGTCTTTGATTTAATGGTGCAGTTATAGCAGTTCATTCGAATTTGTCAGAGGGCTCTGGCCCAGTTTTGTTCCTTCCCAGACTGCCTCAGTCCACCTGGTATTTTAAAAGAAACCTGACAGCAGGTGGAGAAAAATGGAGGGCAGCAGCAGTGAGTTTAAGGATCTTGGCAGGGTAGGATGTTAACAGAGAGATGTACAATCTGTGGTGGATCTGAAGAAATGTGCGGGCATGATTGGCGGTCTCACTTGGCTCGGTTGTAGAAGCAAAGCTTAGTATGAGATGAAGAACTGAGATGATACAACGGGCAAACACTGCTCTCGTAAATACAGTCACACAGAGAAAGTGTATAGCAACAACAGCAATGTATGACTTGGTTTACTCATCATCTATAACAGACGTACTGGTGGTAAACAAAACTGTGTAAAAACCTCATGAAAAAAGGACTTCACTGCAAACGAGATGGATCATATTAGGTTGCATGCGTACACCCTGACCTGTATGTCTTCATCTTGTCCCTGATGGATTGTTGGTTTTGTTTGTTTCTCTAATGAGAGTTTATTACAAAACCAAAAAATCTCATTTGTTCTACTTTAGTCAATTTTATTCTCCTTTTTGTGTTTTTAAATATTGTTTTACTGCATTTATTTGACATAAAGCCTCTGAATTTTAAAAATGCTATACTAATAAACTGTGCCTACATAAAATACAAATACTACCTAATTGCTAAGAA